AAGTCACAAAAACAGCAACAGCTGGTCTCAGCTTGGAGGGGAAGAAAACACAAGTAAATACTCATGGATGGAACGCAACCTCCTTTTACTTCCCCTTGGAGCCCAGACCAACTACTGCTTCATTGGCTGCAGCATTATTCATGCAGCAGCAATGGCCATTCCTGGGGCTTAACATAGTTTTGTATGAGGCATAAAGGGCTAAAGAACTCCATCCAAAAAGGGGCATACAATGAAGTAAGCTGGAAGGCACCAGATACCATCTGATCTTGGAAGCTAAGCAGGGTCACTCTGGTTAGTACTTGGATGGAGACTGCTAGTGAATGCCAGGTTTGTTGTTGTTGTTGTTGTGTGCCTCCAGGTCATTTTTTACTTATGGTGACCCTAAGGTGGATCTATCATAAAGGTTTTCTTGGCAGATGGGGGGGGGCAGCCATTCTCTGAGGCTGAGAGAGTGTGACTTGCCCAAGGTCACCCAGTGGGTTTTATGACCAAGAGGGAAATCAAACCCTGGTCTCTAGAGTTGTAGTCCAACACTCAAAACAACTATGCCACGTTTGCTCTCTGAAACCACTTCTGACTATTCCTTGCCTAAGAAAACCATATCAAATTCATGGGGTCACCAGAAGCTGAAGGCAACTTGAAGGCACACACACACCCCATGCTTATGTGCATTGTTGTTGTTGTGCCTTCAAGCTGTTTCCAACTTATTGCCATCCTATGACAAATCTACTAGGAGGTTTCATTGGCAGAATTTGTTCAGAGGGGGTTTGCCTTGAAATTCCTCTTGGGCTGAGAGTGTGTGACTTGGCCAAGGTGGCCCAGTGGGTTTCCACAGCCAAGCAAGGACTTGAACTCTGGTCTCCAGAGTCGCAGTGCAATGCTCAAACCACTAAACCACTCTGGCTCACCACTTACATCCATATACCTCACTAACAGGAACCTGCTCAATATCCCCCAGTTTCTTACTAAGGGAAACATTATTTCCTGAATCCTGTAAACGGAGAAAGCATCAGGGCAGAGTTCTATGCTGAAAAGCTGACCATAAAGATCCATTCTCCATCATTTCCCCAGTCAAGCCTACATTTGGGTAAGTGGGAAGAACCTCTCTGAAGCGCTTCTGCTGTGGCTGATGGATGGGCAGAGACTAGTCTTCCTCAAGCTTTCCAGGGACCTCAGTCCTCTATTGATGGATGGGGTCACATTATGCGTGAACATAAAGGAAAGGACTGCTTTTTACTCTGATGACTTTGGGCCTTTGCAAACTGCCAGAAATAGTGCAAATTGAGTCCACTTTAAGGGTAAGGGTTAATGCTAGGGAGTCATGGGAATTGTTTTTGGTTTTTTTTCTGAGACATTGAGCCTTCTCTGTCAGAGAGCTCTGATGCCACTATAAAATACAGTCCCCATGATTCCCTAACCCTAACCCTAAAAGTGGACTCAATTTGCACTATTTCTGGCAGTCTGCAAAGACCCTTTGTTTACTGAACAAGCCAACTTAGTGTGCAGCACAGCATGAAAAAGTGATCTTCTGATATTTGAAAGGTTATTTTTTGGACTACAACTCCCCAAATCCTCCTTATCATGAGATGACTGACATAATTCATTAAAAGAGGGTGATATTGGGGGGAGTGGAAGGCAATAGGAAAAGAGGAAAAGAGATTACAGGTGGATAGACTCAATCCAGGAAGCCATAGTCCTAAGCTTTCAAGATTTCTTGCAAGTCTCCCATCCATAGGGTTGCCATAAGTCAAAGTCAACTTGACAGCAAACAACATCAAGTAATATGCCTCCTCAGGCACTCTCTAAACAGACAGTAAACAGGATGCATGTAGCATGTGATTGTTCAACATACATAACTTAGACCAACATATATACTATATGTCTAGATCAATGAATATAGATAAGCATACAGATATTGCCTGTCATATACCTATGAAAACATAGCAATCAATTGGTTCCAGAGAAGCAGGGTATTAAATAAAAATTATTATTATTATTATTATTATTATTATTATTATTATTATTATTATTATTATTATTATTATTATTATTTAGACCATTTATCTTCTGTCTGTTTTGGAAGAGAAACAGGTTTCCCTTGATTTTATGCTACTAGCCACTGGACAGGCATCCCTTGGGTTCCCTCCAAAACAGATGCCCAGAGGCAAGCCTGTAGATATCAAGCAATCGGAACTGAAAGACATACAAAATATTATTATTTTTATCAGAAGAGCAAAATCATTTCAGCAGACCTTGGTTCTATGCAAGATGGCTCGGCTTCTGCAATAAAAAATATGCAATCAAGGCATCCCATTCAATGCCCTCCAATGATAGTCTTGCAATCACTGCATTTGGAGTCAAAAATTCAATTCACATTCTCTTCTGCACAACATTTTTGGATCATCAAGAAGCTCACCTGCTTTTCTGTTCTAAATTATACTAAGCATTCTACTCTTATGGAGAATTCCCAGCCTCCAATGGACTATTTCCCCCCCTTTAGACCCACTTATTCTTTTTATCTAAATACACTAGACATCTTCAGAGTCTCCACAACCATGATAATGCCTTTCCTCCTGTTTCTTAGATGACCTGTTTTCATTCTTGGCACTCACCAACTTTGGCTGCTATTAGAGAAACTGATACATTAGAGCAGGAAATTTTTGCCCAAGAGCCACAATTCATCCTAACTCAGTTTTTGAAGCTCCAGGATACCTTAAAAATCCCTGAAAAACCCTCATAGTTTTGTTTTTAATTCAAAGAACTGAGTAAAAACCACCCAAACCACTACCAAAATACACCAAGAGGTAGTAGTTTAACTTTGTTTGCTCTAAGCCATCCACCTATCCAAACATCATTTTATTTGCTACCTTTCCCCCAAACTGGGACTCAAACTGGCTTATCAAACAGAGAATATTTTCAGTTTTTAAAAGACATGTGGATAAAAACATGCAGAAAGCTGTGGTTAAAACAATACAATCAGCCCTCCATATCCACAGATTCTGTATTCACAGATTCAACCATCCACGGCTTGAAAATATTCAACAACAAAAAAACCCCACAAATTGGTTGCTAAAACACTATTGGATGGGTGTTATTTGATACACTGCATTCCTACAAACAAATGCATTGACTTGTTCACAACATAACACATGGGAAAGAAAGGTTTCAATGCTAATAAAGACAAGAAGAAATTCACATACAGCAGAATACATTTTTAAACATTGAATCATCAGTGGTAGACATTTTTTAAAAAATTGAAACTGGCTCTGCCTGCACTGTGTTTATAATAGTGGCTGGACACAAAAAAATTTAAAAACAGGGTAAGACAGCAAACAGTGCATCTAATAATAATAATAATAATAATCTCTATCAGATGTGTGCGCACACACACATGCATGCACAAACACTTAGTTGTGTGTGTGTGTTGTGTGCCTTCAAGTTGTTTCCAACTTACAGTGACCCTAAGGCAAACTGATCATGGGGTTTTCTTAGCAAGTTTCTTCAGAAGGGGGTTTCCATTGCCATCCTCTGAGGCTGAGAGAGTGTGACTTGCTCAAGATCGTCCGGTGGGTTTCATGGCCAAGCCAGAAATCGAACCCTGTTCTCCATAGTTGTAGTCCAACACACAAACCATTATGCCACGCTGGCTCTTACGGTACTGTAATAAGGCAACTATTCTCAAATTATATGCATACCCAGATTAATCAAAATATGGACGTCTCAACTGCTTTGTTTGGCAATGTTCATTTTGTTATTTTACATAATCTATGCATCCATTATAGGAAATGTTGTATCTCATCTTTAAAAAGTTAAGAAGGACAGGCAAGGAGTTTCACTTGCTGTCTGCCGGTAAATTATATTTCTTCTCTCATTCATTGTAAGTAAATTACTATTCTGCAATAGGTTGTTTCATTTGCTCGCAGTGCTTCCCTTTTAAATAGCAATGAAGTAAGTAACTACAGGTTTCCCAGGAAGTTCATGATCTGGCTGGCCCCACCTTGCATGAAAATAAAACCAACCCACAGCAGGAAACAAGGGACTGTCAACATTTCCCTACCTGAGCAAATCAGCCGCCAAGTGCAACAAAACCCTGCCTTATTTGCTTCAGCAAACAAGCAAAAGACTTAATTTCACTTAGGAACCACCAAAACAAGTCAATATTTTAAAGTAGGGAGAACATGATTCGAGCCAGAATGGTGTAGTGGTTTGAGCACTGGACTAGGACACTGGGAAACCCGGGTTCGAATCCCCATTCAGTCATGGAAACCCACTGGGTGAACTTGGGCAAATCATACTCTCTTAGACACAGAGGACAGCAAGGACCAACCCAATCAGAACAAATTCTGCCCAAATAATACCCCCAAAAACCTGTGATAGGGTTGCCATAAGTTAGAAACAATTTGAAGGCACAACCTGAAGGCACACAACAACTACTCCATATTTAGAGAATCACTCAAAAGTGGTTCTAGTGTGGACATCATCACCAAATGACTTGAAGGCACACAACAGAACAACAGTCCTCACAGAGAACATCTCAGCTTGAGGAAGCAGCCTTTCTCAGGCCAGCACCATTCAGGTGTACTGAAAAACAACCCCCATCATCCCCAGACACTGATCTCAATGTTATACTGGGTGGGGATGACAGGTATTATCAAACATTTGGAGGATGCCAGGTTGGTTGAGGCTGCTAGGCAGAGTCAGTACTTGCTGATTTCAAAGGTGGAATCTGATTTTCTGAATATTTTTCCCGGTTTTTCTATCCATTTCTCTCTGCTGTCATCGCAACCACAATGTCCAACCCCCTGCCCAAATCTCTGGCCTAATCATAATCCGTTGTTGTTTTTGTGTGCCTTCAAGTTGTTTCCATCTTATGGCAACCCTAAGGTATTTCACTGGGTTTTCAGGGGCTGAGAGTGTGTGACTCACCCAAGATCATCTAGTGAGTTTCCAAGGCCAAATGGCAAATTGAACCCTGGTCTCCAGAGTCACAGTCCAACACTCAAACCTCACCATGGCTCATGGTCCATTGCTACAATGAAGGAGGGAACACAGTGAGAGATGCTACATTTTCCAAAGGGAAAGAAAAGCAATTGTTTGCAGTAAGGTTGCTACTTTTCTTTCCTGCAAGCCCCTGTACCTTTTACTGTTGCGAAGTTTTCTCCCACCACTGTATATCCCAATAGCATCATCTACTGAATTTCAACCCTGTCCTACTGCCATTCAAAAGTGCAGGAGCCTTGTTAGAAAAGCCAGCATCTGTAGGCTTTTTTTATAGGGAATGTTTTTGAAAGAAACAGGCTTTTGCAAGAACCGCCTGAGTTTGCTAGACAGAACCTGGCAATCTATTTTCTGTCATTGCAGTCACTTGCATACTTAGACTCTGGACTCAGTGGCATTACACTCCTGATAATGTGCATTACTTCATTTTAAAAAAATGATTAGAGTCCGAGTCCATACCATACCACAGAATTTTGCTGGAGGACTTCCAGATGCCTAGAGACCTTTTTTTCTGGACACAGCTAAGTGAAACAATGACTGCCAATCCTGCAGACATGGGAGTCAGACTTTATCTATTAGAAGCCTTTGGTTCCACATTAATTTGATTCCATGTGCATCACGGAGTCTGTAGTTTGGTGAGACCTTAGAACTCTCTGACAAAGAAGTCTATTTCTCCTTAAACTATAAATCCCATTATTCCATAGGATGGTACTTAACATGGCATCAACATCCTTTAATGGTGTGGTGAGAAAGACACCAACATGGGCATAATACAACAAAATCCAAAATGTACAAAAGAGCAATACTTTTATCAACCCAACTGAAATGCACAAAATACCTCATGCAAGGTTTCGAAGCTTCATTGGATTCTTCATCAGGCAAAGATGTTAAAAATGTTAACGCCCAATGAAGAAGCCAGTGAAAAAAAGTTTGCATGATGTATTTTGTGCATTTTGGATGGTTGCTAAAGGTATCGCTCTGCTTTGCATTTGGGATTTTATTGGATTTTACTGCAAGGCCAACACAGCTACCTCTGAATATGCAGCATGGGCATGTGTGTTATATCACACCAGACACCTGCAGTCAACTTTGTCAGATTCAGTGAATGTTTTGCTCTGTTGGAGTTATGTACATGTACATGAGAAGAGAGCGGGAAACAAAATGGTGGGACAAAATGAAAATGTGGACATTATATAGATATAGTTATACGCATGTTTGTGGATAGATACCGTATTTTCTGGCGTATAAGACGACCCGGCGTATAAGACGACCCCCCATTTTTCCAGTTAATATATAGAGTTTTAGCACCTCTATCCTCCTTATTCTTATACCCGGCGTATAAGACGACCCACCCACTTTAACCACAGATTTTGCAGGTTAAAAAGTAGTCTTATATGCAGGAAAATAAGGTACATCCAGAATTTCAATCTCTATATCAACGTATGTGGAAGTGTATATTCTTTCTAGGTGCCAGCCTGAGAGTAATTTTCCATGCTTCTAGTCCATTGCACTCCACAATAAACCTTTAGGTCCAAACAGGGCCTGCCTCTAAGATTTTGTTGTCCAAGGCAAAGGATAAGGCAGTGTCTCCTTCCTTCCCTTTAGTCCCATGTACAGACGCTGATCAGGTAGAAAGCTGGATCTTATTTCAATACTGGAATCAGGACAAGATCCTCCACTTCAACCAAGCTAGGGGATGGGGCACCATTTCTTATTCTCCATCAAAAAGCAGCTGCTAAGAATTTGTACTGAGGTGGAGCCCAGTGCTTTCCCTGTGCTAGATGACCAATCCAAACTGAAAGGGAAGGGAGAAAGATGCCTGGTTTTTGGGAAAGACAATTATCCTGCCAGTTCCAACAGGAACGTATAGCACTTTGAGAGTAACTAGGAGAAAGAAGTTTGTAGCTGGTACACTGGATCTACTTAGTAAATTACAGGGAGTAAAGTACTTAGATCCAGTCTGTGAAAGCGTAGATTACAAACTTCTTTCTTCAATTGCTCTCAAACATGCTACAAGATCCCACTCCATACTGCTACAGATGTATTTCAGTACTACTACAGGTTGAGTCTCCCTTAACCAGAATCCCAAAATCCAAAATGCTCCAAAATCCAAAACTGTACACCTGGATGGCTGAGATAGTGATGCTTTTGCTTTCTGATAGTTCAGTGTACACAAACTTTGTTTTATGAACAAATTTATTAAAAATATTATGCATAAAATTACCTTCAGGCTATGTTTATAAGGTGTAAACGAAACATACAGGAATTCCATGTTTAGACTTGGGTCCCATCTCCAAAGTATCTCATTATATATATGCAAATATTCCAAAATAAAATAAATTCAAAATACGTCTGGTCTCAAGCATTTCAGATAAGGGAAACTCAACTGTACTGAGAGTTCCAGTCACCGAATTCTATTAAGCCCCTGGAAGGGCCATTTTTCCTTATGTGAACAAACTACAAATTGCATACAAGCGACCCATCACCACCACCAATGAAACTCTGCACAGAGAAGGAACCAACACTTGTCCACTAGTAAGGACTGGTATTTCACTACTTCAAAAAGAAAAGGGATGCTGCAGCCATTCTGCAGAGCAAGGCCTGCCCAAGCTATTTGGCCGCCTGAGATCATGTAAAAAAGTAGGCTGCCTCCCTCGTCCAAGTTGTGTAGAACTGAAAGCTAGGGGGAAGAAATTGCATTAGAGGCAGGAACTCCCACAAATACCTGATAGTAAAAATACAGTAACAACAAACTAAATAACTAGCAATCTGCCGCCTTTTTGTAATATCCAGATTCTGCTGTCCGAGGCAGCCGCTTCACCCTGCCAAAGAGCCAGGCTGGCTCCTCTGTAGAGCAGAGTTGTCAATTTCTTTACAGAGAGAGAAACTCAACACCATTTGGAAATCGCATTCTGCAATTTGAAAGTTTCCTGCACCTGAGAAAATGTGCACTTTCCACATGCCCAGAGACAATTTCCCTAGTATAACTTCACAGTGCTGAATGTAGTCGGTCAGTGAAAACAGCTCCCAAGCTAAGCCCTGGCCAGAAAAAAACTACATACTCAAGAGCCTAAAAATCCTACTACTAGTCCTAACCAGAGTAAACCCATTGAATCAATGAGATTTACCTATCAGTTGACGTACTTGTCAACAATTGAATGAATGGATCTACTCCAGCTGGGGGGAGAGGGTTAACCAAGAGGATGCCAACCAAGGGGTAGGAACTGACCCTTTTCAATCAATTCCTAAAGTTCCTCCACAGATATTTGCTTCCAACTACAGAAAGATCAACTCCCCCTCATAGCATTATAGATTAGACACAGGGGAACATAGGAGTGAGCTGCCTATAAAGAAGGTATCTCTTACCTACCAAGCCAAGACAACACTCAGGGTTTCCCAAACAGAAACCCAAGAGGACCACCATTTGTCTTGAAAAATCTCACTGGTCCTGCACAGAAGAAGGCAGATTGGAAGCCGTCTTTCTGAAAGCTATCTGATCTAGGGGACAAGCAATGTGCCAAGGACTGGCACCATAATTGTGCCCACTGGCTCCAGCTGTTTCTTTCTTTCCTGGAAACTCTCCAGGGACTGGCTGGAGACGACTCATGGACAAGTACCGATCCGTGGACCACGACTTTGAGCAGCAATCTAGGGAAATATAAGAAGACTGCAGAAGCTGTGAATGCCTTCTCACCAGCTTTGTGTTGTTATGTGTCTTTAAGGCAGGGGTAGGCAACCTTTTTGAGCCAGGAGCCGGGTTGCTGTCCCTTTGACAATTGGGGAGGGGGCCAAAGCACAATAAATAAATGAATAAATAAAAATTAAAAATTAAAAAAAAATTAAAAATATGTATGCACACTCTCTCAGCCCCAGAAAAGCCATGGCAAACCCCCTGTGGAGATTTTGCCAAGAAAACCCCAAGAACAAGTAATAACAACAATAATCAATATCATCATGGCAGGTGGGGGGGCGGCAGCGGCGGCGGCCTCGGGGGGCCGCATCTGGCCTACCCCTGCTTTAAAGCAACGCCAACTTACAATAACCCTATCATAGGGTTTTCTTGACACCTTTTATTATTCAGAAGGGGTTTCCCATTGCCTTCCTCTGAGGCTGAGAGAGTGAGACTTGCACAAGCTCACCCAGTGCATTTCCATGGCTGAACTGGGATTTGAACCCTGGTCTCCCACCGTTCTAGTCCAGCCACTACACCACACTGGCTCTCCCACTTGTTGTTGTTGTGTGCTTTCAAATCATTTCTGACT